ACCGCTTTTGAGGTAAAACGACGACTATATACCACAGGTAAGGTAATTCAACGTTTATTTATCATTGATTTATATACATAGTTAGCGATATATCGCTATAGGTGAGACAAAAGGTAAATCCAGAACATTTACTATAAAATAACAATCGGCTACACAAACAGATTGTGTGGGCGCCCTGTGGTTTTTATAACTATAAAAAGAAAGAGTACCAGAATAAGAAACCAATACAGCAAGTAATGTAATCAAAAGTACTATGGTGTGCTGGACCATACAAACTCCGGCTAAGAGCCATACAGCACCCTCGCGTAAGTAATAAAACACTGACTGTCAATTAAACCTCAGTCTGGTCATGTATAATGTATAGTATTTCTGAAACGTATCTTAACAACATTTTCAGGCTAGTTTCTCACCAAGTACTCAGCGACGAGAGAGATTCTCTCTTGGTACCCGGTAAATATGAACTAGATCAGCCTGAACCCCGAGATCATAGGTTCTTATGCGGATGTGTACTCTATTACGCTGTCTATTTACGTTGGCGAGCGAGTCAACTGTGTACTTTTCCTTTTCGCTGGGTAGAGCGACAGCGTTAGGGATTTAGAACCCAACAAAGAAGTACTAGATCTCTCAGTCACTCTAAATAACTTCTGAAAATGGTACATTAGGTCTTATTAGTAAAGGCAAAGCGCGTTACGGTAAGCGTTATGTTTACGTCAGCAAAGAGTTGATTCAGTGAGCCCAAGCTTTCAATTGCTTTTGTGGTGTAAAGATAAGGTCAAGCGGTTAAACGATGTAAGGGCGCAACTAACCATCGGAACATGGCAGGAAACAGTGGCGGATCCAGACCTTAAGATAACGGGGGAACCTGGTCATCCAGGGGCGGATCCAGGATTCTTTTTAGGAGGGGGTGCACTCGTCTCTCGCTCTACTTCAACACCAATAAACCACATAGTTTTTTTTTGCAGAATACCAGTTGTATTAGAAAACCGCAGGTCATCTCGGGGGGGGGGGGGGGGGGGGGGGGGGTCGTTTGAATCTTTACGATGAACTTTTGGCGACTGTTACGGTTTGGTTTAGGGCCTGTTCCAATGCCTTCTAAATGAGTACCAAATTGCCGAAACTGGATTACGTTTTCATCCATGGGAAAAAAGGGAGACACTTTCACCGTTACGGAATATCGACTTTTCAGAGTGATACATAAAGTCTTATGTATGGGCCAGTGCTTTCGTTGGCATTCTTTACTGCAATAAGATGCAATATGACAAGTCGCACACTTCCTAAGGCGAGGTACCACTCCTTTTGTGAGATGACAAAACGTACAACCGGTGTTAAACCGCTCAATCACTTCTTTAGGGTAATACATGCCCTCCTCGTTATTAAATTCTTTGTTACGGCTGAGGATGGGTGGCTTAGAGTACGCCTGCCTCTCTCCATGTGGAAGATGAGAAAACGCTGACTCGAGATCGTCAAGGGAAACCTCTTTGGGAAACTTTTGATACTCTAGCCACGGACCGCTATGGTCTCGAACGATGTTGGATTTTAAGTAAATACGTCCAGAATAATTTACACCAATCAAAATACCTCCACATTTGTTGGCAAAGACAACATTTTCTGTTATGTTGGCTGAAGTTCTCGATTTGGCAAGGATTCCCCAGAAGCCGTTATCGAATATTTTGTTGTTACTTATTTCAAGATGAGAATTGTCATCTAGAGAAAGACCGAAGGGCCCATTGTGATGAATATCATTTTCATGTATTTTTATCGTTTTCTCGTTGCTCTGTGCAAGAATGCCTTCTCTTGCATTTTCGAATATCTTATTTCTCCTGATGTCACATTCTCCTGCATTCATCCCGATAAGAATGCCATGAAAATTGCTACCGTATATTCTGTTTTCGTATGCTACAAGTTTTCCGCCTTGTCTTGCTTCTAAACCAGCCTGGTGGTTTTTGTATATCTCACACTTTCTAACCTCCATCCGGGAATCTAAATTAACCAGGGCGCCACCACCACCACAGTCATGAATTGCACAGTCTTCAATAAGCGCGGAGCTCTGAAATGCAATGGACACTCCAGGAAAACCGCCGACACCGGATTTTGTTTCTGAATCTCCAAACTTACCAGTGCGTTGGCAAGCAGGTTTACCTAAAGAGGCCGCTACACACCCTGGCCCGCCATTACATTCTGGATAGTCTTCACAACTAGAGAATCCTCCGGAAACTTCGCAATGTTTCAAGTGAATAGTAGTGTTGAATTGACAAAGAAGGCCAACGCTTCCTTTTGCAAAACGAATTTTCTCAAAATAGCACCTGGCGTTGGAAATTGTAAACATCTCTTTGCAGTTGAAAACGACTTTCTGTCCAAGGCCGACGATCTGCAGGTCTTTCAAGGCAACGAACTGAGGTAAATTGTACTCACCATCATGCAGTAACAGAGTTTCACTTCCTTGTGTTGTCATCAGAGCAAAAGCCAAATGTGCAGAATTACTTATTTCTTTACTCGAATGAGTATCTACCTCTGGAAACATTTTACGAAATTTCTTGTCTTGGCGAAGATCGGAGTCAAAATGGAGTGCTACAGCCACTGCTGCTCTTTTTTGTCCCATCAGGTGAGACGATCCTCCTTTAACAAGATCTTCGAGAGCCCAAGCCTTGCGTGAAAGTGCTTTAGTGTAACCCGGGTTTAACAAAAGGCATTTTTCACAGTCGTCTAGGGATTGCTGTGGCTTGCCGAGTTTCAAATAGCAAAACGCGCGGTTGGCGAAGAGTCGGTGGTCGTTAGCCGTCAAATCAATGGCGTTGGAATAGAGCCTTAATGCCTCTTCAAATTTTTTATTTTTTACTGCAAAGTTTCCTTGTTCTCTGAGGTGGTTAGCTTTCTCCTCCCTTTCTTCACGATCAGAATCGGATTCATCGGCGAAATCTCCTTCCGAGGCCTTTTGCCTCATGCAGTGCGATAT